CCCGTGAGTCTCAGCCGCCGAGTGAGCAAGTGGGTGTCGGCAGCCCCGCTCTTCGGATGAGGTCACCGGCTCCGGGAGTGCACTGGGCCGAAGTTACCATGCGTGCCGGAAGGTTCAGATCCTTCCTGCCACCCTCTTGCACCTTCCCAGCTGTCACAAGCACGCCAGGCGATGAGGCCTGTGCAGAGCTGTTTCAGAGGTGCGGGTGTCAGGTGCTGGGCGGGCCTGTGTCTTCAGGTACGGCCGAGTGCGAGGGATCCTTTCGTTCCTGCCGCCTCCACGTGGGATAGGCCAAGGCGTGGCCAGATCGGGAGATCCGTCTATGGGGGTTGTAGCAGTTTTCTACTTAGCAAGGGACACAAATTTGAGTCATTTGGTTTTAACGAGAATATAGTAGACTTGCGTTTATTAGTGGGAGATGTTAGTGTGTTAGGGTTCCCCGGAGGTCTGTAAAGCTACGGGCTTGGCTCACTCGGGAGAGTGCGGTGCTGATAACACCAAGGCCACGGGTTCGGATCCTATATAGGGATGGCCGGTTCGCTCACTGGCTGAGCGTGGTGCTGACAACACCAAGTCAAGGGTTAAGATCCCCTTACCGGTCATCTTTAAAAAAAAAAATAAAAATAAAAAAAAAATAAAAAAAAAATAAAGCTACGGGCTAGATGGTGCTGGCCCAGCCTGATGATCTCCCAGACCTAAGGCCGTAGAGGTGTTAGTAGTGACTGGACTTTCCTAAGTCCAGGTGTCTTCCCTCAACTTTCCTTTCTCCTGTGACTTTAACAATTTGTATGAAGGTATAGTTTTTAGTGTTTAAGAGCCTGGAATGTAAATGGTGCTGAATAAATATTGATTAAAATAATACAGCGGATCTCAAAATTTTGTTTAAGAAGGGGCCTGGCACTTCATGGCTCGATCCCTGGCCCTTCCCCAGGGGGCTACTAGAACATCCTGGACAGCAGTCTCTGGGCCTGGCTCTCTCAGGTCCCCAGAAGACATTCAGAACACTCAGATTTAGGTCCAGGACACGTCCCAGTAGGCCTAGCTGTACGCCTTCCCCTCCCAACAGGTATTTTAAGGGTACTAGATAATTTTAGTGATCGGATTGAGATGGGAAACAAATGCTGGGCTTCGGGCACTTCAGATAGCAGACTCTGACATGTGATCTCATTTCTTGTTGTGAGCTTAGCTGGGAGACATTTCAGCCCCAGCTCTTGGGGGGGGGGGGGGTCCCCACTAACCATGTGCACAGTTTCAAAGTTCTCCCATTTCTGGAAGATGAATCTTGACTGTTAGCGCCCCCCGACCCCATGTGGTTATACAGGTCTGTGTGAATGGCCTGGGGTGTGTCTGAGGGCAGCAGCTGAGGGGGCCTTATCTTCATCCTCTTCGAACCTCTGAATTGCTCTCCACGTTCCGTGCACATTCTCTGCCTGGTTCCCCAGTGCCTTGGCCTTTACTGTCCATGATTCAGCCCCCATTTCCCTACCAGTCGGGGTCTCCTGTAGAGTCCCCAGGATGCCATGGCCTGGAGGCCTGCTTCACCCCCCCCCCCCCCC